TCAGAGAAAGATGCCAGTTACTTATGAGCTTCTGCCAAGAGTAAGTGTACTACCAAAGGCGGAGGAAGAGCAGCCTAAAACTATACATGAGAAGCTTCATGGCGCAACATGGTCTGCTCATTTGCTGCAGGTGATTTAAAAATTAATGCTTAGATAAATGTTAAGACAATCAGCTTTATATAGAGGTTGGGATAACTTTTCCCTGAAGAAAAAAACCCCTCCTTTTATGTATAAATTACGTTCGTTAAATCATTATTCTAATTTAAAAAAAAATTTGTTTCATTTTGGCTGTGTCGGGTCTTCGTTGCAGCATGTGGGAAATTCGATGAGGCACCTGGGATCTTTCTTTGCGGCACGCAGACTCTTTGTTGCAGTGCGCAGGCTTCTCTCTACTTGTGGTGTGCGGGTTTTCTCTTCTCTAGTTGTGGCTTGTAGGCTACAGGGTGCATGGGCTCTATAGTTGTGGCGCACAGGTTCCAGAGTGCGTGGGCTCTGTAGTTTTGCAGGACGCGGGCTTTCTAGTTGAGGCGCACGAGCTCAGTGGTTCTGGTGCATGGGCTTAGTTGCCCCATGGCATGTGGAATCTTAGTTCCCCGACCAGGGATGGAACCCAAGTCCCCCGCATTGTAAGGAGGATTCTTTACCATTGGACCACCAGGGAAGTCCCTCATTATTGTAATTTTTATCATAACTAACACTATTGCTTTTCTTATTGTGATTCTTGACTAAACTCTTCCACCTTAGAAAGGAAGGGATCTTAGGCACAGTAGGGTTAAGTGACTAAATAGATGAAATGAGGATAGCCATATTCTTCTTTACTTTTCTCTGCCTTTGATCTTTACCTGTATTTTCCAAAATTTAAAGTCATTAAAAACTTAATATTTATTTTTTTGTTTGTATGTAAAGTGAAAGTTGATTGAAGTTATATAGTTTTCAAAAGTAAGTGATATCTATCTATATAGCATTTTGTTTTACTGTGTTTTTGCTGGGAGGTGGTATATTGATTTATATATAGAAAAATTGGTAGGTAAGACAGCACAGAGCAACAGGAAACCAAGTAATGGAATAGTCCTACTGTACGTAGTTAATTTTACTGCAGATAGAATATAATAAACCAAACTACTTGTAATAACATTCATTGTTGTGTGACTGTGGCACAACCCAGGTTGGTGTAGAATTGTATTCAAGAGAATTTAGCTGCTACCAGTAGAACCTTCAGATGCTGTAGAAAGACCATGCGATTTAGAGTTGGAATCACATTCTGGCATTGCCAGTTACAACTGTGTGACTGAGGGTTATATTGTTTAACCTCCCTGAACATTTTACCTCACCAAGTTTTTAGGGTCAGATGAGATAAATATAAGTGCTTTATTGTTGTTATTAAGTACCTGGTTATTACAATAATTCCAGGCATAGACTCTGAGGAGTATTATGTGTATAAGGCTCTAGTAAAGTATCAATTGAAAGCTTTGTTGTCAAGGAAAAAGCAACTTTGGTTTTAGTGTTTGAATTTAGCTTAAATTTTTTTTTTTTTGCGGTACGTGGGCCTCTCACTGCTGTGTCCTCTCCCTTTGCGGAGCATAGGCTCCGGACGCGCAGGCTCAGTGGCCATGGCTCACGGGCCCAGCCACTCCACGGCATGTGGGATCTTCCCAGACCGGGGCACGAACCTGTGTCCCCTGCATCGGCAGGCGGACTCTCAACCACTGCGCCACCAGGGAAGCCCCTAGCTTAAATTTTAATAACTCAGACTTTTTGCTAAATTTGAATACATTTGAACTTGACTTGTAGACATTGTGGTTCTTTAGAAAGTACATATTAGCTTTTGGGTGGACATCATCATCCGTAAGGTTCTTAATAACTGTAGACCATTGTCGTTTAATTATAAATATCACCAATCCTTTGGCGGATAATTCTGATCGTGCTTACACAGAAATAAGAATAGATGGGTGTCCAGCTTTTGATCAGAAAGTATGACTTTGATTTAGGTTAAAAAGTAAAGGTGATACAGAGATACTTTTGCAAGTATTTAGTCCGTGCTCTAGTGGCATTAACAGATTTGCATGTCAGCCAAAGTATTTAGCTTAAGGGTGAAAGTGAGGTACAGTAGTTTCGAAGATGCTAGGACTTGTTGATTTTCTTTATCTCCCTTTGCTAATTTTTGAGCTAAAATGGTATTTGTAGAGACCAGGAGAGGAGAGTTATTATAGGTACATACGTTTATGATGTGTGAGAGTAGTGATTATGTATCATGCACTTAACAAAGTTCCTATGTATGGTAGCCACTCAGTAAATGTTTGAATGAATGGACAATGGACGGTTGGACGTATGTAGGAAGGAGGTGGTATACCCTTGTAGCCTAGCAAATTGCTCTATGTTAAGTTTGGGAAGCACTCATGTATATTGAGGTAAAGGTAAGTAACATCTATATATTTTGAAGCTTGTTGAAGTTTGAGTAATTCCGAGTGGCTATGTGAACTTGGGCAGGTCTATGTTAGGCTATAATCAGTGAATCAATATTTAACTGTCCAGTGCTTAGATATTTTGTGCTCAGTGCTGAGGAAGAATTATGACATGATCCTTGCCTTCAGTGTATTCAAACAGGAAACAATAGCAAACAGTACAAAATGGTGTTTTTTTTTTTTTTTTTTTTTGCTGTACGCGGGCCTCTCACCGCTGTGGCCTCTCCCGTTGCGGAGCACAGGCCCCGGACGCGCAGGCCCAGCGGCCATGGCTCACGGGCCTATCCGCTCCGCGGCATGTGGGATCTTCCCGGACCGGGGCACGAACCCACATCCCCTGCATCGGCAGGCGGACTCTCAACCACTGCGCCACCAGGGAAGCCCAAAATGGTGTATTTTTTAAGAAGTGCAGTAAAAACGCATAACAAAATTTACCACCTTAACCATTTTTAAGTGTAGAGTTCAGTAGTGTTAATTACATATACGGTGTTGTGTGAGGTGTTGTATATTTAAATTGAAAATATGAGGAGAGGATAAATGCTGTGGGGAAGTGGGATTCAAAATGTACTCCATGAAAGCACTCCAAATCCAATTTTATTTGAGGGAACGTTATATTTATACTTTTATTTACTTAAGTTTGAAAACTACCACTATTAAAATTTGGAGAGGGAAAGGGCTGAATTATTCAAGGCCAGAGTAATCAGGGAAAGTTTCAAGGCAGAAGAGGAAGACTTAAATTGGGCCTTAAAAAATGATTAGGAATTGGATGGGTTGTGGGCAGGGAAAAGGAAAAGCATTCTTCTTGAGGGAGCCAATCAAAGCTCAGAGGTTGGGGATATGAACATTGCCTGTTTCTCGATTAAAGAGAAGATCTGCATTATGAGAAATTATTGTTTATGTTGGGGGTGAATGGTGTGTAGTGTAATGTCTCCCAAAATGTGTTCCATCTGCCATGAATGTTGTAGAGGAGGAAGGGAAGGGAAATTCTTGTCTTTCTCCTGCAAGGTTCTAGTAACATTTGAGTGCGACTGTGCATTTGAGAGCTTAAAAGGTTGTATCCAACATATTTTAATTTTATATGAGCAGAGGAAGTTTTCTCTACCTGGAACCATTGTTTCTTGGACACCAGTTTGAAAACTGTATATGCCACTTACATACACTTTCTTGACTTGATCAAGAAATTTAATATACCAGATATCCCCCTGCTCCCACTTTATGATTAGATTATAATCACAGTTACCGTATGTGAAAAGTGTTGGTAAACTCATTCAACAAATACGGAGTATGTACTGTAATCTGCTAATGATTGAGAGTTATATACATGTAAGGAAAATGTTACAGAACCATAAGATATTACATGCATATAACCCTTCTACATTCTTGCTATTCTATGTATGGTCAGTGAACATTAGCGTCTCCTAGCCTGCAGTCTTGTTAGAAATGCGAAACCTTAGTCTTTGTCCCAGACTTATTGAACCAGAGCCTGCATTTTATTAAGATCACCAAGTGATTCATATGCCCATTAAAGTGTGCATTTGTCGTATGCTGTTTTACATCATATCCAACACAACTTTGTTCTGTCCTTTCTTGAACACTGTTAGTAGCAGAGAATTTGATACTTTTGATTTCCAGCTTAGGGTTTACCCTCCTGAAACTTCTACCCTCTGGTCATGGTTTTGTCTTAAAGAGTTATACAGAATCTGCTTCAGTATCTCAAATGAGAGTCATTTATATGTAAAAGATAAGCTTATGTTTATCTGAGTCCCTAACAAAATGTGTCACCTAGAATTGATCATAGTACTCATAGAGTGACTTGGCCAGAGATTTGAATGGAAGTTATTGAAGTTATTTCACCTTAACTATAGAGCATTTAAGAGCTCTGTGCCACTGTGTTCCATTGCCTCTGCTGCTGTTATTTTTTTACTCCTCTCGCCAAGCAATTTCTTTAAGTAGCCATCCTTCTTACTTTTAACTTTTCACGTTGGACTGTTCTTAAATTTTGCTAAGCTCAGGGTAGGCCTAGTGTTTCTTTGGAACCAGCTCTTAGAGCCCTTCCATACCTAGTCACTTGGTTAGATACTTTGATTAAAGTCATAGATTACTTGGTAAAGGATCACCTGGTATTTTGCCTTCCTCTTTAAGAAGTTTCTAAAGAAAATTACCTATTATTTTAATTTGTAATATCTAGATATGTCAAATCACTAGAACTGAAATGTAGGGTCCCTTTTAAGAAATTAAATACTTTTAGTTACATAAATATAGATGCTCACTGTAAAAATTAATACAATACAAACATGTAGAAAGAAGTGAAAAATCCATTTTTTCCTCTTTCTAATTGTAACCCTTCAAGGTTAACCTCTGTTTAGTTTACATTTCCTTCTAAACCTTTAAAAAAAATGTACAAAAGGTATGTGCTATAAATAAAATTTAAAAACAAGAAAGGGGGATTTATATACTGTTCTGAAAATTGACTTTTTACTCAGAAAAATTAAGCTGATCTCTAGACCTTAATACGATCAATGTGTTTTTTGACTTTAGGGAAGAAACCCTTTTTTTTTGGAGCCAGCAATAATTATTACAATTACTGATGGGAGCAAGTTGACTACTACCAGTGGAGTCCAGGATGAGGTAAGTTATGTTTATATCAGCATGGATTATGCAAATGAAGTTGAAAAATCTTTATTTATGTGTACATTGTAGGATATTGAAACCTTAAGTAGGTTCGCTCTTTATTTGATGCAATCTAGAGTCATCTGGCTCCTAGAACTCATTTACCTTCTCTGTTGTTTGTAGCAATGGCCTCTAAATTTTCTTGAATAGGAATCCCTTCTGTGAAAAATTTTGGAGCCTACCACCCATCTCAATTATATATGTATTTCTGAGTTTATGTGAGGGTCACAGTGTCAGTTCATATATTAAATTTAGTAAAATGAATTCTTATTTTCAGGCTAAAAAAATGGAGACAGCATTCTAATAATTTCTTCCCATATTTCAGTGGTTTGTCATATGTACTGCACTATGGAGACTCCTAGACTAGAGTACAGCCAAGCCAAGAGGAGGTTAAAACTAGGAAAAGTGAAGGTGTTTGGGTATTTTAATTCTAAGTCAAATACCATATAAATAATTTACAGCTAACTTCACGTATTCTCTACTAACATGCATTGTGCAGAGTTGGTTGTGTGTGATGTGATAGGGTGAGTGCAAGAGGTTTATTTTAACTTTAAGCTGTTTTTAGTTTAGTATTTGAACTGCTCTTTTTTTTGTTGTTGAGGCATGCGGGATCTTTCCTTGCGGCGCGTGGGCTCTTTGTTGTGGTGTGCAGGCTTCTCTTGAGTTGTGGCGTGTGGGTTTTCTCTTCTCTAGTTGTGGTGCACAGGCTCCAGGGCGCGTGGGCTCTGTAGTTTGGGGCACGCAGGCTCTAGTTGAAGTGCATGAGCTCAGTAGTTGTGGCACATGGGCTTAGTTGCCCCTCAGCATGTGGGATCTTAGTTCCCTGACCAGGGATTGAACCCGTGTCCCCTGCATTGCAAGGCAGATTCTTTACCACTGGACCACCAGGGAAGTCCCTGAACATTGCTTTTGAACATTTCGTTTATTAAAATAGGTTGTTGTAGAAAGGAGATGGTTTAGGCTACTCTCTTTACTGCTTGCATTTGATTTAGAATCTTAATTTTAATTCTCACTGTATTTACACACGGTTTGATTAAGTAGGAAGAGTGTAGTCTTTAAGTTCAGTAATTTTTAGAAATACTTTCATTTGTGTGACATTGTGGAATGCAAATTGGATATGGAGTCAGGACACATGGGTTCTAGTCATTGTTCAACTACTTTCTAGCAGTGAAGTTTGTATCAGTTACCTAGCTTCCCTAAATTTCTATCCTTGTTCGTGAAATAAAGGTGATAATTCTTGCCTTACCTCATAGGGCTGTTGGAAGACTGAAAAGAAATAATGTATATGAAAGTGCTTGGTAGGCTGTAATGAAAAGAACAACTGTATTGTTCTATCATGAAGCATTGGAACTAGTAAAGAATTTTTATTGCCCGATCTTGACTTGAGGGGAAAAGAGCCAGAATTATTTTGTTTGAGCAGTGACGTTGAAGGGAGTTTAGGATATAATTCATAGAGAAACAGTTGAAAAATTTAGGTAGATTAAAATTCATAATTAAATAATTTATAGTCTATACATAATTAGTAGCCTTGGAACACTCCATAGCTGAACTTAATGGATTTTGGGGCTTTCTTAAACTTAGTTGATGTGTATAGCCAATTATATCCTGCCACTTTCAGGAACAGATAGACATTGATTATACACATGAACAATCAATATGTTGCTAACTTTAAATTTGAAGCTCTCAAACTGATTTTTCCCACTTTACCTTCCTTTTGAAAAATTTGACTGAGAGAAAGATTGAGATATCAATAATCAGGTCAGAAATACTAATGATTTTGTTTTGTAGTTATGATGACTTCAAAGGTATTTCTCATTTATATTTACGTTTATATTTATATTTATATTCCTACATGTGAGATTATCCATTCAAGGTGCTCTGGTCTTACCACCTTTGTAGAAATGCCCTTTGGGGTACAATATATTTTGTTCCCATATATCTGGATCTGGTTTGTTTGTAATATTTGTTTCATAGGACCTCCTCTAGCTTTAAAAAAATATCTTGAAATATACATGGATGTTGGAATTGCTCACCTTTCTTCCTAGGTCCTTGGGAAAGATACTGGAGAAATAGACCTATGTGTTTATAATAACCTAAAACTCCTTGCTAGTAAAGTTGGAAAGATTTTCCTGTGGGCTAGGAGCTTACCTTTTTGTTCTCTTATATCTTCTACAATATTTAGCATAGTTCTGAGAACAGAGCTTATATTTTAAAAATATTGATTATAAATATTGTTGTATTGAGTCTGGTAGTCATAAGATCAAAATTTATCACTGCTACTTACTATCTGAGGTGGAAGTCATTTGTTATAAGGCAAAGGTTTATTTTGGATATGCGGTTGGAACATAGGTCTCTGAGTTGTGTTGTGTTTCAAGTTTAGGAGTATCTTCGATCATCAGCATGTTTGGTTCTTAATGTTCCAACAGGACTCATTTTGTGGGCCAGAGAATGTACCCTATATGTGTATATTGTGGAAACTTAATTTTTAAAAAATTTTATTTCTTTATTTTTTTATACAGCAGGTTCTTATTAGTTACCTATTTTATACATATTAGTATGTATATATATGTCAATCCCAATCTCCCAATTCATCCACCACCATCCCCCCCCACTTCCCCCC